TCTGGTGTCAGATTCCACTAACTTTAGATAATTTTCATACCATCCAGCGGGGTCATTGTTTTACAACTCTTCTAGATCCGAAATAATCATTCTAGGAACGGATTTAACTTCTTTGAAGGTCGTGTTCACTGTTAACTGCCTGTTAACTGTAGAGAGCTTATCCCTGGTTTTCTGGTAACAGAGTCGTGGGAGTTGAGCAAATAACTTTCGACAATGTTTTATGAGGCCGAACTCTTCCTATCTACGATGAGTTAAATATTGTCTTACTTTGGAACTTTGCCGTAGTAAGATGACACACGGAATGTGAGTCCATCAAGGACTTTGGAACCAAACAAGCGTCAATTTTGGCCATCTGTCCTTCTCATCTATATCTCTATGACATTCATTTCTCACCAGCTGCAGCGTTCATATCTGGATTACTCCGAACGATAACGTTTATGTCCGTCTCATCAGTCGCTGTTGTAGCTACGTGGCTCTCAGTATTCAGTGATTTTCTACTCACTAATTGTTTCGAGATAGAAATCCTTGGCGTATGTTGCACAGCCTGGTGTCCGACACATGCCGTAACAGCACTTATGATATTGACACATTCTTCGCTATTCGTATCCATGTTACTCGTACATCCCTCATCAACGGTTTCGTTAGCGAACGCCAGAAGGTTAATTGCCTTATATATGAGTAACGTTTTGCCCGAGCGACAAAACACACAGAGCCAATGGGAGTTAGACTGTGAATACCTTTTACACGATGTGGAATTTAAGCGGATACACATCTTATGAAACCACTTCTTATACTCATCATACTGCATTCTTACCTCCGCAGTACGGCCATTCACACCTGTGAACAGAGCTGATAATCTAAAAAATCAACTGAAAATGATAACACATTAATGGATTTGAGGCAAAATTTCAAGCCTTAACCGAAATAAATTAGATCAAAATCAACTAATTTTACTTTGATACAGTGAATACACGAAAGCAAAGTCAATACACACAAATACGAAGTCACTTTAACCGAAATAATTTCACTATAAATGGAAATAGTAGTTTTGATGCGTAGTTTACGATCAAAACAGTAAATTTAACTGAACAAGGAAAAATACCACAGTTCTTTTTACATAGCGCTCTTCTCATGAGGTTAACATCAATATCAATGACTTACAGAATCATTTATTTTGCGGATTCATTTACTGCCACAAGCTCACTCAGTTTATATCTTTCAATGGACAGAGCGGAGACTTTCGTCAGGTATCAAGACACCAAAGTTGTGAGAAGAAGAAACTACCTGAGGCATGTGAATCTGCGGATTCCGTTCAGGATTCACATATCAATATAATACAGACCATAGGAGAGCCAAGTCTGAGCAGTGTAGAGGAAGTGATGAAAAGACAAAAGAAGGTAAATAAGTGACTCACAGTCACACCTAGGTAAAGAAAAGTAAGAAAACAGAACATTAGCTTTGCGTTTGACATTGCATTTAAATCGAACTGCAAGGAAGAGATGGTTTCAGAACTAAAATTACAAAGCATATCAAGATAGACCTCTTTGAGAGGTCAACCGATAAGGAACCAAATGTTAGATCTGAGCACGACCTCAGTCATATTATTTCCTTAATAAGCAAGCTACCCCCCCCCACGAGAAAGTTTCAGGAGTTAGCATCTTTAAGCTTTATAGGATAGGACAAAAGATGGATTCGGAAATTCCTGAGAAAAGCCACCTCTTGAAGGTTACATTTGCCACGGTTGAAGAAAGGAACCTGATTCTAAGTAACGCACGTAAAATGATTAAATCCGGAATATACGTCTGTGAGGAGTTCAGCCTAGCTGACGGGCTGCGGAAATGGAAATAAACGAGTGCCGCCGAAAAGGTGAAAGAAACCCCGTACTTAAGGGTTTTCAAATTGTAAAAGCTGGGAGCCAGACGATGCTCAAACCAATCTGGGTAGTAAGGGAAAGTTCTCCACAGACTTAAAGGTATGCTACACAACTGCTCGCAGCCCACTAAACAAAATAGTGGAGCTCAAGTCAGTGGTGGATAAAGAAAAACCGGATTTTATTGTTGTCTCTGAAACTTGGTTAACGTCCGAAGTATTATATAATGAAGTTCATTTGACTGGTTCTTATTCAGTAGGGCTGACAGATTAAACCGTAGGGGAGGCGGGATTATCCTGTACACAAAAAGAACCTTAATCATGCAACCAGTTGAGACAGTGGCACATGTTGCAGGGAAATGTGAATTGGTGTGATGCAAGCTGAAATGTAGACGGCAAGATATTGAATTAGTTGTAGTATATCGTAGTTCAGAATTTGTAGTAGATGATTTCTTCCTAAGTAAAATTAAGTCCTGGTGTAACAAGGGTAAAAGCCTTGTAGTAAGCAACTTTAGTGCACCTTATTTAAACTGGGTTAACTTAGAGGTAGTGTCATCGATAATGTCATTCAATCGCAAACTGTTAGAAACCTCGATTTGATTAGCTTCATTCCAAAACTTTTGAAGTCCCACAGGATATGATTTAAGAAACTCTTCTTCTCTTTTAGGTTTAGTCTTCACACACGGTGATGACGTTGATCAAATGATTTTCCTTCCACCACTAGGGAGAAGTGACCATGTACTCATAGTATTCGAATTCATGGTTGAAATTGCCTGGTAAACAGTTGCGTCGGCCCGTTCTCAAATATGGAAGGCAGATATGGAGGAAGTCAACTCCGCAGCATCGGCTGAAAACTGAGAATTTGACTCAAGGGCATCAATGCAAGAGGCATCGACTTATTTCAGGCAGTTACACAATCGAGTAACTCAACCATACAAACCCTGGACCGTCCCAAAGAAGAAGAAGAAGCACGGCCATCCCTGGATAGGCCGGGATATTTTACGTTTACTAAGACAATATAAGAAATGTTGCGATGTTGCTAACCGCCTTGGCACAGCGGGTACGATGGAACGCTATAGATTGGTAAGAAACGAGTGTATAACTAAAATATGAAGTGCAGTTGTCACAATCTGCACTCAAGCAGCCTAAGAGAATATTCTCGTGAATTAACTACAAAACAAGGATGTATTATTGGATTCCCAACATAAGTAAAGAAGGGAGTGAATCTGAAATGATGGGGGACGATCAGGGAAAAGCAGAGTCTATGACTAACCATTTCGGGGCAGTTTTCACTCAACAACCTCCTCTAGACAAAGAGCCAAACCAAAATACAGAGTCAACAAACCACCTGCTCACCATGGACTTCTATCAAGACGATGTACTTAAATCTCTTAGCACCATAGACATGAAAAGTCGAAAGGGCCAGATGAACTACACCCCGAAATCTTGAGACAGATTGCGCAATAATCGCGGCCTCACTGTTTGTGATATTCGATTCGCCACTTGACCGAGGTGTGTTACCTATGGGCTGGAAGGACGCAATCTTCACTTCCATACATAAAACAGGACCAAAACGACTTCCATCAAACTACAAATCTGTAAGCCTAACCAGTGTTGTAGTTAAATTATTGGAAAGAATGGTCGAACGGACCGCAATGGCATTTATGGAAACCAATAACTTGCTAAACATAGAACAACATGGTTTTAGAAAGGGTCTATCTTGTACAACGAACCTCCTTATAGCAAGGGAATCTTGGATAAAGGCGCTTGACAACGGAAACTCGGTGGATGTTGTCTATACAGACTTCAGTAAGGCTTTTGACTAGGTGCCAACTAATAAACTGCTATCAAAGTTGGAAAACCTTAGTATTGCCGGACTTCTTTTAAAATGGATTAAGGATTTCCTAGTAGGTCGTAGACTGAAAGTAAGAGTAAATTTGAAGTGCCCCACCTGGAGACCAATACTTAGTGGAGTACCTCAAGGTTCTGCCCTAGGTCTTTTACTTTTTATACAGTATATAGATGATCTCCCAAGTATAGTACAGTCGCCAATGTTATTATACGCTGACGATGCAAAAATCTAGCGAGAAGTAACGGGAGACGCAAATACATGTACACTTCAGACAGACTTAAATATGGTGATTAACTGATCTAAACAGCGGCTGACGCCTATCAACGCGGTAAGATGTGTCTACAAAACCTTTGGTGATGCAAAGGTTAACAGGTAAAACATAGGGGAAGTGCCTGTATACGTGGTCTGGTCTCACAAGGATCTTGGGTGTCAGTGAGTTATAACCATAAGACCACAGCCCATTGCCGGGAAGTCGCAGCTCAAGGGTTTGGAGCTCTATTGACTTTAAGGCGGACATTCACCAAGATAAATACAACCATGTTCACTACAGTATACACAACCTTAGTAAGAACTAAGCTTGAGAACTGCGTTCAGGCTCCAAGTCCCTGCTTAAAAGATGAATATGGTTTCTTAAAAGAGGTATAGAGGGCAGCTACTCATGCGATTCGAGAACTCCGGGGTTAACCATACAAAGAGCGGATTGAAATGCAGGAACTCTTTACTCTGTCCTATCGTAGACTTAGAGGAGATCTAATTTTGATGTACAGAATACTGAGAAATGATTTTGGACCTAATATATTCTCTCTTTTTCTTCCCACCAAATCGGGATATCTCAGAGGACATGGCAGGTGAGTAGAAAAGCCTAGAACGAACAAATTACCCGTGGCATACAGGTTTTCACACCGAGTCATAATTATTTGGAACCTTATGAAGAGCGCCTCCAATCACTTAACCTTTACCCATTAAAGTATAGGAGTCTTAGAGGAAACCTTCTGATAGCTTACAGTATCCCTAACACTTCTAGACATTCCCTTAAACACCTACTTAAGCGTAGTCCCAATACTAACCTAAGGGGTAACACCCAGAAATTAGTAGAACGGACTGTAGACACAACTTCTACTCCTTAAGAGTTGTCAAATGCTGGAATTCGCTGCTGACTGAATTATTCCAAGCGACTTTCCAGGAGTCCTTTAAGCGGAAACTTTACCTATTCTTAAGGACTCAGTATAACATCTTATTATGAGTTACCAATTTGTTTACTTTCTAATCTATTATAGCTTATATATCTAGGTTTCTGCTTGTAGGTATTGGTGATCCCCTGCTATTAAACACGGAAGCCTGTTAAGCGAAAGCTTCTATTCCGTCCACAACTATTTGAACCACTTGAACCATTTGAAGCGCAAGCGTTTAATGGGTACGTTGCATATGAAGTAAATATGTTTCTTATGTGTGTTTGTAGATCATATTCTTAGTATCCAGTAAGCAGCTTTTAAATTGAAGCATAATGTCTAAAATAGTAAATTTGGTGCTTGATATTTAAGAGTTCATAAATCTAGTGCCAGCTTTGTAGTGGTCGAAGCAAACAAAAATGTGAATTTAAATGTTTTATTGTTGCCATTTATTTTCTTTTATCGACAATAATAAATTGCCTCGAACCTCGATATTTCTTAACATATATACTCGCTGATTAGGAGCAACTATGTCGAAAGCTTTGCTGTAGTCCATGTGCTACGTAGACTACGTCTGCAGGTAACATTTGGTCTTTATGAGTGCACCAACTTTCAAGAGCCAATAATAAGTTAGTGAGACAAAAATAACCGTGCTACTTCTCAGAAAAAATCTGGTTTTAACTGAGATACGTAAACAGCTTCCGAATAATCCTTCCTGATAGGCTAACGGGTCGATAGTTCTCACATTTATGTTTTGTATCTGTTTTAAAGACAGGAGTTCTTATGGCGTTCTTCCAGTCTTTTGGTGATCGACCCTGGGTTACGGATAGATTGAAACATATACTTAGGGGGTTCACAACGAAGTTAGCTTGCTCCTTTAGTGATCTAGGATGCATTTCACCGGGTCCCATGAACTTGCCTGTATCAAGCTTATTTAGCAGAACAAAGACATCGAGTTCTTTAGTGGTCACATTGTCCAGTGCGTATGGGGGTTTGTATGAACTGTCAGAAAGGGTGTCTCCGTGGTATATACATTGCTAAAGTTGTGTGATAATGCTCGGGTCTTACTATAATCGTCGAGTAATGATGAATTATTACTGCTACCCCGTAGTGTTGGAATATTTCCTCATCTCTTAGTCCTTTGGTTTATGTACGAGTATAAGCGTTTTGGGGATTCTATGGATTCTTTAACAATTTTTTTCTTCTCATGACCTTCTAGACTTACAGTGAGTCGAAGCACAAATATTTATAGTTTCTCGATATTAAGATTTTGTCTCATCAATAACCAGTAACCTAAATGTTTCCCACATTCTTCTCGTATGGGGAAGGGTGTGAACCTCCATGCTGAAGAGTTACTCGGACCCCTTGGTGTAGTTCATGAGATATGTAGGGTAGTAACGTTTTCGTAGACTTTGAAATATATCTCAAGCTGCTTCAGTTGGGGACTTTGGCTCTATTTTCCGATTTGTTTAGGATGCTGAATGTATACCATCTATATTTGCTTTCTAGACGTTAGGTCTGGGTTGGGCTACTGCGTGCTCATTTTTGATAACCATATGGAAGCCAAAGATTAGAACTGCATCATCACTAACCTAAGGGCGGCATGTAATGAAGGTTTGTGACGTCAACCTCATAATGGGTCAATGTAAAATCTAGTAAGGATGATTTAGAGTGCGGATCGTGCCTAGTCGCTTCTTTCACATGTTGCACTATAGCACATGTGGTAAGTGCATCAACTAGTTCCTGCTCGAAGTAATTTTCTGGCATTTCAGTTCTCAGATTTTTCCAGTCTACCTTAAGTCCTTTAATGGGTCGATTTTTTAAAATCAGTCCTGTAGTTTACCATGAAGCTCCAATAACTAATCCCATTAGCACCAAATATACTTTTTTCATAGTCTCAAGATTTGCGGAGTAGAGTAGATGTCGGTTAATGACGATATAGTTATAAACCCATATTAATAGGTAGACATAGATTTGTGCACTCAGCTTTAAACCATACTTTATGTCTCAGGATCGTTAACAATACTAATCCCCTCAAAACGAACGACAAACAACTAAACTATTTAGTACATGTATACTGTAGTGACGACTCTACAAACGTAGTTTAGGCAAATTCGAGCCCGATATTTAATTTTATTTATTTATTTATTTCAACACATAGATAATGGTACAAAGAGGCACCAAATACATATGCGCCACACAAATCTCATCCGATATGTGTGAGGGCTGTGATACTGCCCGGGTGCCCAAACCGAAGCAGGTGGTTTTCTTAGGGGGCCACACCCCGAGCCTTCGACCCAAAGGTCTGATCCACAAGGCAGTGGAGCATCGTAAGGAGATGCAGTCCCATGGAAGCCGGTGACCAACAATTGGTTCATTCGCCATTTGTTCCCGCAGGATACTGGAGCCCATGTGCACCATTGGTTTGGAATCCGGTTAAAGCGCCGGACATTCGCTTTTCGTCCTCTCATTTTCGTAAACAACACCCCCGCCACGAGAAGGCAGTGAGTAGGACTTCCCTGGCAGAGGCTATATACGCGTGGCCGTGTGAGAGTATTTCGAGAGGGAGAGCGGACTCTCCCCACTCTCGGCCGTACCAGGGCATTTGGGGGCAATAGTTTTAATGACCAAATTTAAGTCATTTTGAGGTGTATCCAAAGTTTTCAAGCTCCTCACTTCTCGAAGCGGTGTAGTGGTTTGAACGTTTCGAAACCAAGAAAATAAACCTGTATTTCATCTGAGTATATTTTTCACCAAATAGTTCAACTGAATTACTACTGAGAAACTCAGAACACCGTGTTACAACTTACTAAGTGATGATTATGACCAAACACAAGACATGAAGTCGCTGACTACTCGTCAGAGTCGTATACAGAGTTACTGATTTTCCATTTGTGGTTTGTGCGATAATTGTTATCTGTGGCTAAAGATATCAAACGATATGGATTAAGTTGGACCATAACAAAGCGACCATTTCATCCTATCTTCTAGAGTTAAACACCGGTAGCATACCAGTATTTCCATTTCTCAACCTCCTTCGTTTCTTTGGAACTACATATTTTTTCCTGTCTAGTTTTCCGCTTCAATTAATATCGCTACTTCCACTCATTTGTTTTTCTTCCTGTTAGTTTCCTTTTTTTTTATATAAATTGCAGCATTTTGGGTCGACATGTTTGTGTTAGGTTTTGGGTTTTGTGGAATAAACATTGGTTGGCAATTTGCACTCAAGTGGTTAAAAAAGTATCTCTAAATTAGGAATGACAAATTCTGAATTTGAACATTATCCTACTTGTTAATTTACAAATTAGTCAGCATAGTTGATTGTCTACAAATTCCTTTTAAGACCCGCATTTCAATTACTTTACTACATCCTCACTGTGCTGTTCATATATTGTATTCCTTTACCAATGTTTCAACTGAAAAATTATGAGATTTAGTTATAATAAAATTGCCGGGCAGTTATCCTACAGATATTTTATGAATGACTAGCAGATAGATCTTACTTATTGGTTGATTTAATTTACTGTGAAGAAGTGGCCTTCGTTTAGTCACGAAACGTCAGAGATTTAAATTCACACTCACCAGGTATCACAAATATATCATTGTCTCCAAGAAAGGGCGAGAGGTTGGCTGTATTATTTTTGCACACAATGTTAAGGACTGAATTGGTGGATCGTCAACGCCTCAGGGGTACACAGGTTCTTGATTTGATTTCCTGTTGATCCAGTTCTTTTGACTGTATAGATTTATTTAAAACTCGACTTTGGAGTTAGTCAGGTGTTCTTGTATTGAGCTAGTGATAGCTTTTTATTACCCTTCTAAGAGCCGTACCGTGTAATGTTCTGAGACGCGTTTGGAAAGCTTTTGAGTTGTGCATAGATTGTAACCTGCCCCAGCGACAGTCCAAAAGAAACCTCTCTTTAGGCATGCCAAACTTAAAGGATATACGGTTGCTGAGATCTTGAATAAACAGATCTCAAAATCCTTGAAGAAAACCTAGGCTAAGCTTTGTAATATGATAATTTTATTATTGACTAACAGATTTTCGTTCGGAAATTCCTGCCAATAGTTTATAACCATAATATTGTAGCCTCCTTTACGGAATAATAATTTAATCCTTGTTACAGTTATTAAACCACCACTTAATTTTGCCGTACGTTTATATCTAGACTAACACAATATATAAGTCATCGATAAATATAGTCGTGGGTTTTATTCAGAATTTCAAAGAATCATAGAATATTTTCGTTTAAAAATGTATATTGACTTGAACAGCTAACTAAGCCAACCATTCTAGATGGTTCATAAAACGTCGTTACTATTGACTCCTATGACGGTCGTTCACTGTTACAGTAAGACGTAAATCTTGGGCAAATGGTTGCAGTGCATCCATAAGAAGACTATTGATGTGATGTGTTATTGGGTCTCAACCGGTAGTCACATGCTATCAAAAGTGATTCTAAAAGCAAATCGTTCTTTTCTTTCATTGGATCTCAAATTTTTGATCGCATAATATTCCAGATTTTTGTAGCCATTGAAATTTAATATCTTAATAATACCTATTTTTTGCATAGTTTAATGTCGGGTCAGCTGTCGAAATCATGCACAATCATTCAGGTAATTTTTTTCTTCACAGCGTTTTCCTATAAAGGTAGTATGGTTCTTTGTGATAATTTTAACGATTAATGGATTCTGGACATTAAAATATGGAGTTATCAGATAAGAATTAGCCAATCAGCGTGCACCAACGCAATCGTGCATGCTTTAATCCAGTCTATGTCCCGCTAACAGTTAGCAATGCAAATTAGAAGCATTGTTTGCTACGGATTATTGTAATAGTCGATTGACCATATTGCATTGATCATCTACTTTTTTTGTATTTATGTTATAATGAAAATAATCTTTAGTTATCTTCAGTTTTGTCCCCAAATGCCCTGGTACGTCCGAGGGTGGGTAGAGTCAGCTCTCTCTCTCGAAATGCTCTCACATGACCACGCGTATACAGCAACTGCCAGGGAAGTCCTAGTCATTTCCTTCTCTCGGCGGAAGTGTTGTATACTAAATTAAGAGGACAAAAAGCGAATATCTGGGTTGGTGGACACGGAGTCCACCTAGGGGAGCTGGGAAACCTTGATTCCAAACCAATTGTCCACATGGACTCCAAGATCCTGAAGAAACATATGTAGTACGAACTAATCGTTGGTCACCGGCTACCATGGGACTACATCTCACGGTGTTGCTCCACTGTTTTGTGGATCAGACCAAAAGGTCAACGCCTCCTGGTGTGACCCCCTAAGGAAACTACTTTGGTTTGGGCATCCGGGCAGTATCATAGCACACACCCAAGTCAAGTGACTTGTGTGGTGCATATATATTCGGTGCCCCTTTCTACCAATATTTATGTGTTTAAATAAATAAATAAATAAACTAAACTGCAAACCATATCTATTATGAGGAAGTTAACAACTCTGCCAACCTGCCTTGGTATGTAGGAGACAACTGAAACCTGTACCTCAGTGGTTATAGTTTGAGAACCTAAACCACTGAAAAACTATTCTTAAGAGTACTAGCGTGATAAATCCCACCATTAATTCAAGCTTGAGTTGTTTGAAATTTTTTATCTTAGATATCAATGCCACGGTTGGACTTAATAGTTTCAAATAAATTGAACACTGGGTAGAAAGTTAATGATAAATATATTTTTGTGATATTCCGATGAATAAGTGATCTAAATTCAGTCACGACAAGTCGGAAAAACAATTTTATGCTCATTGGGATATCACGATACCTAAAAAGTTAGCATGGACCCTATGCAATGATCTATAATTGTGTTTTCATAACTTGTTGCTAATTGTTGGGAGTTAGAACTTTTCACTTAGTTAAGTTAATTGAATGTTCCTATGTAGCATATAGTGTACTAGTATACTGATACTTATGAAGTCAACCAATTAAGGTTCTCTCAATCATAATCATTTTATGCGAACATGAAGTTGCTTCAATCTATCACTTTCATGACATGTTCTACAAATGTCTTCCCAGAGAACACGTCGTGCATTATTTGCCGACCCTGGAACTGGTTGGAAAAAGCAAAGAGGTGGTCAGTGTATGACATGGTGTCGTGGTATGAATAAAAGCTGTATAGGACTGGCCCCTGTCGGTCCTTCACAACTTTTTTGTCGGGGTCCTAGAGAAGGTACAACGTTATAGATGTGCGACGTTATCAAATATAGCTCATAATGGAAGCCAGTGGCGATCCTGCTGTTACTTTACTTTCTTCCTAAAAGATGGACGTAACTTCTTTAACTGGAAGAATCCTCTCTGGTTGTACCTGTGCTAATTGAACCGCCCCTCCAATTATTATTATTTCATTATCATACACTAATTTATGTACGTTACTGTTCCCTTCTTATACGCACCTTACATTCTTTATCTCTTCACACTCTCATTGCTATTGTGTGGCGCATATGTATCTGGTGCCCCTTTGTACTAACATTTGTGTTCAAATAATAAGTAATGATAATTCATGACATGTTCAGGATGCATCTGATAAAATCTTTCTAAAGTGTTTCTACTCTTTTACTGAATGTCTTTGTGCCAATGAGATATCATTTTATTGGAATTAATACACAGAACTTCTAAGTTTACTTCTTGTGCTTAACGTAGGATCCCGTCTCAAATCCAAATATTGAAGAGGCCACTTATGATAGTGACAAAAATTCTCATGGAAGATGTACTTCATCATTATATGAAGATGATGTAAAAGTTATGGAAGTGAAGGAAAAAAACCTGGGTAAGTAAAATACTCTGAATCTAATTCATTTGTTTATGGTTAAGTTAAGAGTTTCACTTTATCAACAAATGTTTATTGGTTAACCCACTTTTTTAAGCTTCCAAAGTAACAAAGTCAGTTGTTATTTCTTAATTGGAAATAAAAATCGATCGTTTACGCTATAGCAAATGTGTATCATTTGTATTTACGAAACCTACTAACTCTTCTCAATCACAAACTACTACTTATTACCGCAAACCTAAAATGATCGAAATTCAAATATGGAAATGCCATTTTAATATGCAATATCTAGTGATTAGCTAGAATGTATATTTTATGTTTGTCCCAACGGTTAATATTGTTTGAAAGCTGAGATTAGTCTAAAGTTACCGGCATACCATTATATTTGAACATAACTAGCACTGTATTCAAAAGTTTATCTCGCTATAGTGTCGCAAACAATCTTATCTTTTGTGTAGTTCTGATTTTTCAAGCATTCTAAATGTTTAATTATAACTGACGATATTCACTTAGGATGTAAACATAGAATAATCGAATCGTAATGAGCTTTGGTATTGGACTTCAGTATTAGCGAAGGAAAATAATGGAGAGTTAGAAAGTCGAAGTGTTCAAATAATTTATCTAGTGAAACAAGTAAAGAATATCAAGCAAAGACCATCTAGTAACAAAGTATAGCCATTGCAACAAGGTTAAAATAGGTGGTCAACAGTTTTGAAGACAAAAACTAAGTTCACCTTCATGAATCTAGAAATTTGAAAATATGGGATGAAAATGGTTTTAATTTAGCATCCTAACCTTCATATTCAACTAACAATGCATATTAATCATGTTGACTGGAGTTACTTCATAAGATAACAAACATATAAGTTAAATTTTACTGTTAGGAATAACATGCCTATTATGGAAATTTAAAATTGTGGATTTGTTAGTAAGTAGTTTATTGCTAGTTTGCACGACAAATGAGGTACTTAGTAATTTTCACTAAAGTATTTTCCTCTAGTGTAGTCTCAAAACGTCATTTAACTGACTTAATTTTATCTTCATTGGATAAGTTGTGGTTTTATCGTCACATGTATTCAATAATGTTTTTGTTTATCTCCTATATTTAATATATAAGCCTCATCATATCAAGATTCTGAGTACACGCGATCTTCTGATGGTTCACAATATTCAGTTGGACGTATTAAGGATAGTCCTATGGAAGTAAGTTTCTTTTCTCTCTCTTAATTACTAGAAACCTTATGTTGTCCCACTATCGTACTGTTTCATGTTAAAAATACATACTTGGCACTATATTCGTTAGCTTGTTGAGATTTAAACTGTCTCTGTTAATAGCTGTACCTCAATTGCTTAGAAGCATGCCATTGATTTGTATTTTAACTATACTACTGTTTATTTACATTGAGGTATCTCCCCAATTATCATTTCATACGATTATTCTGGGATATTGCACTTTACTAGTGAGGTGTCACAGTAGTAAACCGAACATGATCAGTTCCATTTCAAATGAGTAAAACATGATTTATATAAATACAGGTTTGATCTATAACTAGTTTCCCCAACTCCGTTCAACTAAAATATCTGAAAGGAGAGGATAAAGATATTATCCCTTTTATATAATTTATTCAATGGAATACTTTAATTTGTTTCGGCGATCTTTTAATTGAATATTTTGCTCAGTCATCAAATTCACTTGTTGATCATGTTTAGTTCTTTGATATAATTATTAGGCTTGACCACCACTTTAACTAAAAAAATTCTTTGTTGAAATTTTAGTATATCAGTAAGTTCATTTAAGAAGTGATACAATAAAAAATAACCAATAATTTCAGTTTACAGAGCGAATTCGTTTTTCTGGCTGCACCGAAGTGTGATGGCATCTTGTACGACACTGTCTTTCTATTACGAAAAGGAGGTAGTGACTAAACGGGTCGATATTGCTGTTGATAAGGTCTCCAATGTTCTGACAAGCTCTAGGGAGATAGGTATTTTAAAAATACTGCATATGATGAGTTTGAGTAGGTATTGCTTAGGATCAAGTACTTTGGTGGCAGTTTTTATCAGGTTTTATCATTAAGGAGTATAGATTACGCTTTTTTCAGTAAACCTCAATTTACAGGTTAACACAGTCTACTGAACATTTTACCCTTATCTCGTTTTACACGTTAATCCTACTGCAGATTGTATGAATATTATGTTATGATATATCTCGCATAAAACGTGACCTGATTAAGCCAGTCGGCAATGAATTTTATTTATCACAGTCACAAATAATCATTGTAGTACTCGTAAAGCAGTTGACCTCTTACAGGATTAGATCGGTTGTAATTAGTCACTAAGTTGAATTAACTTAGTCAAGAACTTGTATTTTTGAACATCTTGTTATTTCACAGTTGTACAAATTCCTATTTTCTTTGAAAATATTTTATTCAATTTTAGATAATTTATTTGCTTATTTCATGCATATACGTGCATGCAGATATATATTTTGTGATATAAGAAGAGTAAGAGAGACTTAATGAAATATTGAATACTGAGAGTTCAGTACTGTACTAAACATATAATATAGAATAAAGTCATTACTATTATTGTTTAATTAATTAGATGATGTTTCTTCATTAGTACTGTCTGAATTTTACGGGTTCAGTCCACAATGTGGTCATTAAATGAAGCATCTCAACTTCAGATGATGCCGAGGGATTCAAGAGAAATGCTGAATGTGATTCCTGTTGTAGTTGTCGCTTATAAAAAAGACATAGATATATTATGTATTGTCGTTTGTTTACTTAGTTTTTTCTTTTTCCCTCAGTTTTATGTTTCGTTACAATATTTTATAACATCAAGCAATACATTTGTATAGATATTTTTCGGCCACCAGGGTAGATTTTTGTACTGTTGGAATTTAAGGAAAGTTCAATCCTGACAATATCTCGGATCATAATAAATGAACCTATTATATATATATCCCTAAAGTATTGTAAACCTGTTTATATCCAGTAAAATATTTCATCATTAATGTATTCTGTTTATACTTTCCAGGTTTTTTGATTGTATCTACTGTTAATTTACGAATAACCTTAATTGTGTATCACCAACAAAATAGATATAGTTTGAATAAAATCGACTTTAAAGAATTATTCTTATTATTTGATCAGAAAAATGTTGTACACTTATTCATTAGATAAATATACGAAACATTAATTTTTTTTCTTTATTTTGTTTTTCCGAGAACAAACAATTCAACTGTATTGCTTATTCTCCTATTTCAAAGATATATGTACAAAGTCTAACTGTAACTATAACAAAATTAGTCTTTAATCAAACAAATAAGTTATAAGTATCAATTTTTTTAATAATTAATAAAGATTCTATTATAGTCGTTTTATAGACTAAATTTTTTTTATTATTTATTTATTTTTATTAGAATATTTCACCTTCCGATATCTTATCAAATAATCAGGCGAATGGAGTCCGTTGGCGTCATTGTGTAAACAATGGTCAAGAGATGTACGTTAACGAAGCAACTAATGAAAAAGTCAGTTTAAGGTTAATAATAATAACTATGATTGTTTTTAATTTTTATAAAAACTGGAAATCCATGTCTTTTTACTTTGGTTTTTCCGCTCATTTTAGTTACTCTATGATCATATACCATTAGTAGCTTAAAATAAATAAAATTTATAGGTTGATTGTGATAGTCATTATGCTTAAATAATCAGTTAGAAATTATTGATTGACAACTGCTTTTACTCACGTTTTCTCTTAATTTTATATTGGTAAAGTATTTCAGTAATGTGTTTACTGTGAATTTAACAGCTTAGACCAACAAACTGTAATGTTATTTCTCAATGAAAGGGTACTTTATTAGTAAATAGTGGTAATAGTGTTCGGTAGACAAATATTGTTTACCATGTTTTTTTTGTGTTGGGAATTTCATTACCATCGTCTTAACTTGAACCTTCTCGAATATTGACCTTTTTATTTCGAAGTACATAATATCCCTTATGAATTAGCGTTTTCACAGTCTCATCACTTTGAATTATATTCGAATAGTGATAAGAAGTGTAGTTTGGAGATATTTTACTGTTTACTTTCTTGTATGAGATTGATGAGGGTTTTTATGATCAACAGGTTACTTGAGGTTTTTCAGAAAACTGTTGCAATGCTCATCGTAACATATAGTTTGCTAGTTGCTTCATGGGTAAACAGTTTGACAATAACAAACCCGATGTTGCTTTTTAGTTCACTCTACAGTTTTTATATGTCTAAGAACAGATAGATTTGATGCTGCTTAATTGAATTTCTCACTTGTAGTGGAAGTTATCAGTATTGTGTGTCAGATATATGCATAAGTGAATAAGATCTTAGTTTTTTTCTGTTTTAATTAAGTAGTACCATGTCAGAATTTTAGCTCAATGTTTTTAAGAAATTCAGTATACTTAGAAATAATAGAAATTTCACGTTTGTTTATGATGGATATTAATGCAATAAACGAGCTATACACAAACCCTGTTTTCTGATTAATTTTAAGTGTTTCCTGTTAAGTAATTTGTAGTTGTGATAAATAGACATTTCTGCAAATTTAATTTTAGAAAAATTATAATGTTAAAACGAAGCGATAAATTTTCTTAGATATACTTGATAGTTGACAAAAGTGACTTCATGATGCGACAGTTTTATGATGACTAGTTGTAAAAGTAGACAATTATTGTTTGCCTAAGATTTAAGTTTAAAGTTTTCTTCTTGTCTTTTTTCCTATCGAAATTTCTAGTGGGTTCCAGCAACTGATCAATATGGAAAAACATATTATTATGAACTAAACACTCGTCATTCCGTATGGGCACTTGAAGATTTAGAAACATCACCTACAGACGCGCCACATTCGTCCGACTCATTGAATAATTATTTAGATATTAGTGACCCGAATTCTTCCAAGGAAGCTTTTGACTGTTCAGTATTTGAAGATGAAAATAATGGTTCTTATGTTGATCAGTATCCATCTGTATCTAGAATGTCAAGTATCAGTAAAGTTAATCGGAGAACAATGAGTCAATCTAAAGTGGTATGAGTTGGTTTTTAGTTCATTTTCTGTATAAATTAAGTTCCACTTTTAACTCATGCATTAGTACCTTCTGTAAAAATGATTCAACATTTGCTGCTACTTTTTTAGTTAATTGCAATCAGTTACTTGATGTTCCAACTTCACAATTTTCTTGTGAGTGAAATATAGTTACTTGAAAGTCAATTATCGTTTGCTAAGATTATCCCACTCATTTTATGCACCCAGTGAATTAAAAAAATTTAAGTGCCCACAAGATTTTTAAGCAAAGATGGATAGTGACTAGCAGTAGAATCGAGGACGCGCGTTTCGTCCTATATGGGGCTCGTCAGCTGGATGTACCTGCATCCCAGAGTTGATGTTCACTCCTGGACTCGAACCCAGTACCGTTCGCTTCAAATGCCATCGCGTTATCCACTTAGCTACTGAGTCCTGCTAACCACGTGCTTGTGCAATGGGGTGAAGTTTAAATTTACTTAGTGTTGTTTTACTTGTATATTCCCATTGTTATCTAGGACTGCCATTGGTCAGTTTCATGTTGGTATATGTGCATCCTGTGCGGATTGTCTCGATATAGCCTTAAGTCACCATCTATATTTGCTTAAAACTATGCCAACATGAAACTGATCAACTGGAGTCCTAAATAACAATGGGAATATACAAGTAAAACAACACCAAGTGTATTTTAAGTGCTATTAGCATTTTTAGTTACTTTGCTCCTGTCATATGAATCGAGTATGGTACCTTTATGTTTATTATGCTCTCGCTAGTCATTTATGTTTTCCTACTTTGTTCAATCATATCGTGGACAATTAATTATCCCGATGAAAAATCTTCAAAAACCTCAAATAATCAGTTATTTTCGTGTTTCTATAATGGTCTGTGAGTTTTGCTTGTAGTAAAGCTACGACTATTTGAATAAAGTGTTCAGGTAATTGCGTAAAGGCATCAATAATTTCAGTAGGGAATGTTCATCACATCTTATTTTCATTTATTGCCCTCATAAACTTAATGCATTCTACTCTAATTGCTCAGAATAAACTCTGCAAAAACCAAGGATTCAACCAGGAAGTGTACATTGCTTTAGAGTTCATGCCACTCACGAAATTATCTTTTATTATTTATAAAAATGAAAGAGAATAAATTGTTTATTACAAATTAATCGTTATTTTTTAAAAATTATTTCAATATCAGGGTTTAAGTTGTTTTAGTGTTTAGTTAACAGAGAGATTTCAAACGCTTGATTAGTGGACACTGAAATTATTTACCTCGTCAGCCTTATCAAGGATTCTGTATACTCGGAGGTAGATACAAGTATTTGAAAATGTAAAATCATGACTTTGAATCTATACTTATATCTTGTTCGAAATACTGAAATTGAAAGTAATAACTGCATATGCAAACATTTGTTTTGTTTTACAGTCTCATCGAAGTTCACATATACCTTCTGAAGTTTGTTCAACACAAGTTATCAATCGACCTTTCAGTTTGGTCAGTCTTGATGATCAAGATCAAGGAGCAGGTGGACGTTTTCAGATGAAGAATCTAAGCAAAGAACATATCAGTGGACCAAGTGAAAATAAACTTACGGTATACAAACATTTTTCTAGCTACATGTTCATTTTCAAATTGATTCTCTTAAATCATGCTAATTACTTACTTTTAAACTGTGCTGAAATTGTGATACGTGTAGCTAGTGATCAGGATGTAATTGTCATTTATAATTTATATTTTATTTCTTAGTGATCACTACAGTTTGTTTACAAATATACTTTACATATTTCTGCATATTAGATTAAACCGGCTGCAACAATAGCTATTAATTAGTCAGAAATGGTGGATATATGCAAATGAAACGGTGTTGAAAAATACAGGTTTTATATAGGCTTCTAAGCATTGTACTGTCTATGGTTGTAATATCTGATCAACTTAAAATAATTACTTTTATCAAATGTCCAATTCTTTTGGTCCCCATCTGTAAGCTAAAAGACTGGACTTTTTGAAGATAATCCGAAACTCAGACAAAAGTATCCCATTCCCTTGTTTAGTGTTTATTAGAATTAAGCAATCGGTTGTAGAAAAACACATCCTGTTCGATAATTCAACCCTACGCTCTAAACTTTATAATACATTTAGTTATTTGATACAGCAAAAATACTAACCTTTTATATCGATTCCGCAAAACATGTGTGGGTAATATAACGTTAGAAAATGTATGGTACCTGAGAAGAAATTTGAAATAGTCAAAATCATAGGCAAGTAGGAGTAGAGAATTACAGAAACCAAAGTTATTTGTTACTAACTGATAATTAACTCTGTTAAATATATCTTAATGATAATTGGCTTTGAATATGGTATAATTAAAAACTCAAAAATAAGAGTGCTAAAGTTCTCATTACGGTGAATCGTTTACTCGATATTTTCCAACAACATTTGATGGTTTAGATAAGCTAATAATTATTTCAGCTTCACCCTTTTAAGTTTAACTATTTTATCACTGATTCAGATTTTACTCTTATTATTTCAGTTCGGATTGTTGGTAGTATCACTGCCCTTCATATAAACTGTGTAACTCGGTGTTGGGTACATAAAACTATCCTTAGGTCCCTTAATGCTCCGGTACGGCCGGAAGTAGGGAGAGCCCTTACTCTCTCTCAAAATGCTCTCATATGGTCACACGTATATAGTTAGTGCCAAAAGTTCTGATCATTGTAGGGTGTGTTTTTTACGAAATTAAGAGGATAAAAAGCAAATGTCTGGCGCTTTAACTGGGTTGGTGCGTGAAATTCTGTCCCAAGTCTATTGAAACCTCGCCACAAATTATACATCGGAGCTTTCAACGTACACACTTTATGTAAAATCGGCCAGCAGACCTCTTTAGCTAAAACCCTAGAATCTCGTATCATTGATGTATGCTGTGTCTCCAAAACACACATACAAGATCCTAGTGTGGTTATTCAATTGACTTCGCCCAGCCAAAACAGGGAGCCGACGACATACACCCTCCGTGTATTTGGCGACCTGATGGCTAGTCCTTGTGCACTGGCAGGTGTAGGCATAGCACTGAGTACAAGGGCAGAACAAACCCTATTAACATGGATCCCTGTTAACAGTCTCCTATGTATTGTTAAGCTAGACGGCTCCGTAAGAACTCAGAAGGATAGGGACACACTTCGTTTCCTTTTTGCCGTTTCTGCCTACTCTCCCACCGACTGCAGCCTGGATGAAATGAAAGATGATTTTTACAGAAAGCTCTCTGAACTTCATAAAGGTAAATGCTCAGACATAGTACTCGTAGCAGGTGACTTTAATGTCTCTCGCTCTGGAATACCTGTTCAAACTTCGATCATGCTCTAACACAAGCACGCATTTGCTTTCACCTCTCTGGATGCAGAAGAACCACATTAAGAAGACCCACTAGAATTCAACTGAGTGACGAAAAAGCCGAACGTAAATTCCACGTTGACTACTATTTTAGACAAAATCTGGGAGTTGCACGTTATCGCATCTGACTGGTCACAATCATTGATTGTCCCAATATATAAGAAGGGGTCAAAATCATCATGTGACAACAATAGAGGATTAGTTTCACTAACGTAGCATCCAAAATATTAGTCTCAACAATGATCGAGCGCCTAACAAAGACTCGTGAACTGTAAACACGAGAAAATCAGGCTGGCTTCAAACCTGGTCGTGGCTGCATCGACCACATATCCATCATCGGCGTCCGACAATGATAGTCCTTCTTGACTTGAATGTAGACCGAGAGGCTCTGTGGCAGCGTCTATCATTGAAAGGCGTACATTAGAAGTACATAAACTTTATGAGGGCTCTTCACTCGAACACTACTAGTCGAGTCAGAGCTTATGGCGAACTGTCATCTGCTTTTGCAACCTCGAGTGATGTCCTCCAAGGGTGTCCACCACCTCCATTTTTGTTCAGCTTCATTATAGACATACTGCTGGAATTAAAGTTCTCGTCAACTGAATTTTCGGGCATTGATCTCCTACCAGGAGGTCCACTTATCGAATTAGAATACGCAGATGACATAGTCCTGTTTAGTGAAGACGCTAGTAATATGCAGTCTTTTGGTAGCACTGAGCAACAATACCAGGATGTTTGGGATGCAAGTTTTTGCTTCAGGACTCATCTGAGTATACTCGTACGTTAACTGATAGTCGGATATCTTGCCTTTGCCTTAGGTGACGTAAATTGGCAAAAGCCAAGCGAGTTTTCTGAATCCGTGTAGAGATTTCGTCAGATACCAACCCATTAAGGTTTATCAGACTTCTAAAATAAGTAAAGTTGTCGACCCTTTCGACTACTTCAATCATTATCTTTAGTTCAAGTGTTGGTGCAGGCCAGGAAAATAAAAAAAATCTTTTAGTGTTGGTTACAAATGCACATCATTATTTAGAGTTTTACAAATTTTGACAATCTCACTTTTTTTTCTGAAAGTACACAAAACCTATAGTTTGCCAATGAATGATTGATGTTAAATATTTAATTGGTTTTGTTAAATTATATTCAACAATTTGATAAAAAGAAAAACACAAATGATTTTTATTGTAAATTTTAGCACTTTGAACGACGTGGTCCAGTTATTCGTACAATGTTAATTGAAAATGGCAAACGTATATCAAAAAAATGGATACCAGGTGTATTACATCTTAGTGGTCCATTACTTTTTTTATACAAAGATAATAAACCTTCTTTACCTGTAAGTCAATTTTCAAATGGTGCTTAAATTATATTCAAGTTATTATTATTATTTTTGAAAAAATCTGTCAATTTTCATTCTTAGAGTTTATTTAATTAATTTTGGAATTTTATATTAATATCATGTACTAGCTTAGAATATTTTCTTGCATAGGAAATTGAAACTGATAATAAAATCATTTGTTTTGAACTAAATAATCATAGTAATCTTCCTTTATAAATATTTTTGATGTAGTACCATTAACCATTTATGAGCTGAATGAATATTTAATAAATTACATTTATGTTTGAGCACACTAAATAGTTCATTTTCAAATAATCAGTGTTAGTGGATAAGTTGAGAAGACTATTGAATTTTCATGTGTAAAGTTTCTATATACATTACCATTCTCTTCCCTTATTAACTTACTGTTTGCTTTGGAATATATTTGTGTTTCTATCCAAGTTATGGTTTTTCTTAGCAACCTGTCGAGTGAAGTGTCCAAGAATACTAGGCTGAAGAAGACTTAATGCTCTTAGTTAATTTTTGTACAATGGAAGTTTTAACACAATAATTTACATTAAATGAATTGACAATGTTGTAGAAAAGTATCTGATATAATAATGGTCCCAGTAATCATGAGGACTTTATCCAGGAAGTTCGCATTGACTTATATGAGTCAGGCCAACAACCAATGAAATAATGGGATAGTGTCATTTCTTGACCTGGTCACTGCTCCTTCTTTCGTACCCAGAGTCAGTATCACATCTCACGTCTCATCATATGTTTGCCTCCAACTAGCATTCTCCAACCCACTCTGTTCTGGGCCTTCCTTTCTAGTTCTATCCAATTGTTGTTCATTCTTCTCATGTCTGTCTCCATTTCTCGGCGTAATGTGTTCTTTGGTCTTCATCTCCTCCTTTGGCCCTGAGGATTCCCAGTGAGGTCTTGCCTTGTGATGCAATTGGGTGCTTTCCTCAATGTGTGTCCTATCCATTCCCAGCGCTTCTTCCTGATTTCTTCCTCCACTGGGATCTGGTTTGTTCACTCCTACAGTAGGTTGTTGCTGAAAATGAGTATATACAAAAAATAATTTAATATCACCTTTTAATTATCGTGTTTTAAGATATTTACATAAGCTAATGATAAAACTCCTATATAAAATTTATGTTTTCTCATTTCTTCCAAATAAAAATCCAAGAGTTTAAAATCTGTAGATTGGTACCTACTGCATGAAAGATAAATGGTCGTCAAATATCATTTTGACGTTTTTTCTTTACATATGATGATAAAAGTATTATTTCTTGTTTATATTGGATTTATTTAACTAAAACATTTATGACTAAATGGCAATATTGAGTCAATCTGCACAGGGTGTATAAATGTCCAAAGAGATTGATCAATTACAGTCCTTAACATTACAGACTGGTAGGTACAGATCAGTTAGTCAGTCAGCTACAACGTAGGACCAGGCACATATGTGCATCGGTTCAGGTTGCCATACCTCATTAGCACAGCAAGATGAACACCGGATTCATAAAAGTAGTTAATTCAGTTGTGGTAATATATAAAAGAAAGATTTCAATAAGGATATAGTATAGGAAGAAAGAATTAGTTAGTAGAAAGAAAGATATGAAGTGATTTTAATCTCTTAGTTTAAGGGAAGACATATAGTGTATACGCCGACGCCATTGTGATCGATTCTAAGCCATGTCGCCAAGAGTCTCCAACCATTGGTTACGATAGTCACGCGAACCCCAACCAAGTAGTCTGCATCTACCAACATGGCTCAGACTAGCAGTTAGTGACTTCAAGCACTGATGCCACGTTTTGGTTTGGCCGCCCCTATACTTTCTTCCAACCATCCCCTACACCGGTTAGCATTGCACGTCATGGTAATCGGTGTTCAGGCATACGTAACACGTGGCCCAACCATCTCAGTTGATGAAGATTCACAACCTCATCAACTGATTTACCATCATTCCCTAATACCCTGAGTCTGACCTCACTATTACTCACCCGGTGATCCCAGCAGACGCCAGCAATATTTCTGAGGCATCTCTGGTCAAATACTAGTAGCTTACGAGTGTCTTCTACTCTTAAAGGCCATGTTTCACTGCCGTAAAGTAAAACAGAACGGACTGCCGCACAATATACTCGTCCTTTTATTGATAGACGGATATCTCGCCTTCGCCAAGGGTGACGTAAGTTGACAAAAGCCAAACGAGCTTTTCGAATCCGTGCTGAGATTTTGTCCGATACCAACCCATTAGGGCTGATCAGACTTCCAAGATAAGTGAAGTTGTCAACGCGTTCGACTACTTCACTCCCTATCATTAGTTCAGGTGTTGACGCAGGCCAGTCCTGAAGTAACAACATGCACTTAGAGGGAGAGAAGCGCATTCCAAACATTCTGGCATGGTTGCTTAGTGCTACCAAAAACTCTGCATTTCGTCAGCGTCTTCACCAAACAGGACTATATCATATGCGTATTCTAAGTCGATAAGTGGACCTCCTGGTAGAAGATCAGTGCCTGAGAATTCAGTTGACGAAAATGTTATTTCCATTAGTAGGTCTATGATGAAGTTAAAAAAAATGGAGAAAGTGGACAGCCTTGACTGACACCACTTGGGGTTGCAAAAGTAGATGACAGTTCGCCATAAGTCCTGACTGGACTAGTAGTGTTCGAATAAAGAGCCTTTACAAGGTTTATGTACTTCTGCGGTACGCCTTTCAATGACAGACACTGCCACAGAATCTCGCGGTCTACCGAGCCAAATGCTGCTTTTAAGTCAAGAAAGACCACCATCGTCGGACGCCGATAAGTATGCCTATGTTCTAGAACCTGACGAATGGTGAATATGTGGTCGATGCAGCCACGACCAGGTCTGAAGCCAGCTTGGTTTTCTCGTGTTTGCAGTTCACGAGTCTTAGTTAGGCGTCTGATTATTATTGAGGCTAGTATTTTAGATATTAAATTAGTTAAACTAATCCCTCTGTGGTTGTCACATGATGATTTTGACCCGTTCTTATATATTGGGACGGTAAGTGATGGCGACCAGTCAGATGGGATAACGTCTAATTCCCAGATCTTAGCTAAAATATTAGTCAACCTAATCGCTAAAATTGGACCACCATCCTTAAAGACCTCTGGAGCCAATCCATCTGGACCAGCTGCTCTTCCTCGTTTCAGATTATCTATAGCCTTCTCAACTTCAGCAAGAGTTGGGTGACCTACTTCAATGTTCCATTCACATTGTATGGGAATGGAGAGTAGTTGTAGAGTAGCTGAAGGCCATTTGAACTATTCTCTAAAATGTTCCGCCCATCGTTCTAAACGTCTGGACTGGGAGCAAATGAGAGTATCGTCTTTTTCCGAAATAATCTCACTTACACTAGACTTATTAATTCCAGTTTCTTTTATTAATCTGTAAAGCTGTCTTGTGTTCCCTATAGTCGCCGCCTTTTCCATCTCTTTTGCTTTCGTTGCCCACCACTGCTCACGGTCGTTTCTTAGACTTTTTCTTAACCTAGACCTGATTTGTTGTTGCTCTTCATCATGTTCGGAACCTGATGGGACGAGTTTGCGAGAATCCATCAGTGTGATAGACTTTGAAGAAATCCACTGGTCCTTTGAAACTCTGTGGTTTAAGCTGCTAATAGATGTCACTGCTGCTTCCACAGCTGCTTGTATGTCTTTCCAAGCAACATCTGGGTCAGCCTCGTCTTCAGAACTACCTAAGTGTGAACTCAGTTGTTCTTGGAACCTATTTTTGGTTTTCTCGTTACTCAACTCAGTTCTAATGGGTCTTTTTAATGTGGCTTTTTTGCGTCCAGTGAGGCGCAAGCAGATGCGTGCCCTTATTAGGGCGTGGTCGGAGTCCAAGCAGGTACTCCAGAATGAGCGACAATCTTGTACCGACCCTCTCCAACGATGACTGATGGCAATATGGTCTATTTGAGTCCATCATTGGTTTGGTGTAGGTAGTCGCCATGTTAGACGATGTCTCTCCTTATGCTTAAAATTTGTGTTTGCTAAACATAAACGATTGTCTGAGCATAGTTGCAGCAGACGATCACCATTATCTGTTCGCTGTGTCAGAATACTAAAATATCCACCTAAATGCCTTTCTGTTTGGTTTAGACTACCTATCTGGGCATTAAAGTCACCTCCTACGAGTACTATGTCTGAGTGTTTAGCTTTCTGAAGAAGTTCAGAGAGCTTTCTGTAAAATTCATCTTTCATTTCATCTGAGCTGCAGTCAGTGGGAGCGTAGGGAGAAACGACAAAAAGGCAACGACGTGTGTCCCTATCCTTCCGAGTTCTTACGGAGCCGTTTAGCCGGACAGCACATAGACGACTGTTGACTGGGATCCACTCTAGCAGTGCTTGTTCGGCCCTCATGCTTAGTGCTATGCCTACACCTGCCAGTCCACAAGAACTGCCCATCGGGTCATTAGATACACGGAGGGTGTATCTCGTTGGCTCTCCGTTTTGCGGAGGTGAGGTCAAGTGAATGACCACACTGGAATCCTGTATGCGTGTTTCGGAGACACAGCACACATCAATGGTAAGAGACTCTAGGGTTTTAGCCAATGAAGCCTGTTGACCGATTTGACATAATGTGCGTACGTTAAAGGCTCCAATGCGTAGTTTGGAGCGAGGTTTCAGTAGACCTGGGATAGTGTTTTGAGAACTAGATTCGTTGGCTATGGTGACACTTGAGAAGGAAGCCGAGAGAGGAAATTTAGAGTTAAAAGTCGATGTAGGAGAAATAATAGGAATTGAAGAGGGAGGTTGATTATGAATACAGTGGTCTTGAGTGCTGTTAGAGGTATTAGGGCATTTATCACTTCCAGGTTGCCCACACCGTGGAAGGGTTCTTCTGGAGGTACCTGAAAAGGAAATTGTATTAGAGGTGGTTTTAGTAACCTGGGAGCGTGACCGCAGTGCCCAAGGGACAACTGCTTGAGGTCGGTCACACACGACCTTTTATGGGTAATTTCTGTGTTAGCCCCGTACTTATTGAGACCTTACCGCCGTAGACGGATATCCGTAGGATATGGCGAGGTGTGCATTTTTGGTGTCGACCTTTTCTAACCCCACCCCTCCTTGTGGGAAGGCAGCATCGCTGTCATGCTGGTTGTCTGAAGGAAACACCTTACTGCTGTCACACCTCTGTACAGTCAGCAGTACGACTTCGCCTTCGGACCTTGGGTTTGTTGCTTTTAGTCTTACCGCTCTTCAACCGATCTTTCTGACGTGGTAGGACCTTGAGGAACGGTTGTTCCAGCCAGTATAGCTCGGTTGTTTCATCACGGTAGGCAAGCCCGACCACCACGTCAAGGTAGCAACAACGGTCGGGAGGTACAGATACTTATAAATTAAATTCATACTCATTGTACAAGTTATTGTTTTTATCTAGACTTAGTAATTCAAATATTAATCGACTTCGATTTTAAACATATATTACATTAGGTTTACAATTTTCTGTTGAACACGAAAAAACAATAATTTTCTATTATATTTACTTGAAACTTTATCATCAAAATTGACTAAAGAATTAGGGAAACAATCAACTTTTGTAATTATTCTTATATTTATTTATTTGTTTAAAAAAATGTTGATTAGAAAATACATCAACCACTTGGTAAACCTGATGTTCAATTCAACATTAGAGAGGTAAAAGTTAGCGAAGCAAACGGTGAACAAACGTCAAGAAAGAATGTGCTCAAAGTTAGTAAAAATTACAATGATATAATTTTATTTTTATACTTTGGTTTCGTTGATCATGAAACAATTTTCTTTATATATATTCAGTGACTGATTGATTCTTCGTAACATTCTATTTCAATTAAAAAAAACTGATTTGATATAGTATAGGGTTACTTAGGGGATGTAACTTGTAAGGATTATTCTATTTGAAAATGTGAAAAAACTATGAAAAAATAAGATAGGATGCATTGACTTTAATTCTATTTTAAAGTAAAATGTATGCCTTTCTCAAACAATTAAAAGCTTTTATCGAAATGACTTTGTTGTTAAATTGAATGGGGTTTACACAGATCTGCTGTATGACATGAGAATCATATCATAATTATTGATTTGTTTATCTCTGTTTTATGATTTCCACATACTTCTCAATCGAATGTAGAAGGTTAATCTCTGACTCTTTTCATACCATAAGTATTTTTTTAAAAATCAACTAGGTTGTGATTGCGAAACAGATAAATGACATCTTAACGTATTCTTTTTTATTCTATTCTATTCTCTCTAACTTGCCTTTCATATTACATTGTAATAACTGTCAGGATAATTTTCTTTATCTGGAGCCATGATTGAATAGTTTTTAAGAATTTAACTTTTAATCATTAGCTCCCAAGTTTAATAAACACTATTTGATTCAGTTTACCAAGTGGTACTAAAAGTGCTCAAGTAACAAATCTTTCTAAAAGTCAGTTGTGAATATTTTTGTTTTACTACTCACCTATATTAACCTTTTACTGTCCTTGATATCCACTGAATCAGTTTGAATATCATATACTGTTCGTCACCTTCCTTGAAATATACTGAAGTAACTCTCAGGTTATCATTTAGTTTTGAATAAGCATTTTAAAATTATTTACATTGGTAGTTTGTGTGGATTCGTACAATTTTTTCAACAGTAGTGAACATCAGTTTGGTATTTGCTCGTTACTTATCAGGAGTGATCAATAACTATTTTTATGCAAAATGTAACTTGTGACATTTGGGTATGGTGTTTGCACTTATTTTGACAGACATAAATAGTATGTGACACCAGTCGGAAGTTGAATGCCTTTCAAAAGAAGGTTGAGGAGATTGAACTGAAGAAGACTGAAAGGAAAACATAAAGGGATTGAGAAATAGAAGAATCATGAAGGATGTAAAGGACTATTGATGCAAGATTTGTAGATGAAGTATTTAATGTATGGTTTAAACCTTTTACTCAAGAGCTCTGTAATTTTGCATTAAACAATAAATTAGTTGCCCCCAACTGAGTTCTCGTTCATTATACGTGTACGACGTCATTCGGTCATTAGGTCAAAATTTATTGGTCACTATATTCAATCTAATTGATAATTCGAACTTTCTTTGTAGTCCACTGACTAATTTTGTCCACGTAAATGCTACTTATATTAACAACTCGTATCAATCGGACTACTGGTAAAAGGAATAAAATCGTTTAATTGTGTGGATCTCTTGTATTTACTTAAACTAACCCATACGTAGAACTAAATCAGAACTTGAGCAAACATTATGTTGCGAAACAATAACTTTATACTGATTTTTTTGAATAGTGGATACTTCTGATAAGATTTGCCCGTGTCCACTGACAAATCAATGTTAATATTCACTAATTGAAGACAAACAATGAGGCAGATTTTATCTAGAGACAGTTTATTTTTATTTGTACATTTATTTAAATAAGAATAAATATTCACTCATTAACAGAACACGATCTGATTGACTTAATAAACATGGATCTACCATCCTGTCACTTAATCACATAAACTCGTGTAGTCGTTCACTTATTCTGACATGACTCAGAAAAAGATGGACATATTATAAATTGTTGATCCAGGAGATTGTATCGATGGGCAGAACACTTTAGTGATCAGTTCAACTGGCCTTCAGCCACACTTCGGTTTTCCACGATCTCCAGTCTGCCTGAACGGCAAGTTAATGTAGGTCCTCCGTCTCTTTACGAAGTTGAAAAAGCCATAGGAAATCTGAAGCGAGGGAGAGCAGCAGGCCCTGACAGATTTACCCCTGAGATTTTTAAGGATGGTGGTCCAGTATTAGCAGTGAGATTGACTAAGGCCTCAGGTAGAATCTGGGAACTGGACGTAATCCCATCTGACTGGTCTGTCACTGATTGTGCGAGTCTATAAGAAAGGACAAAAGTCCTCTTGTGACAATCACAGAAAAATCAGTTTGACTAATATAGTGTCTAACATATTAGCTTCAATAATTCTTCGACGCCTAACCAAAGCTCATGAAGAGCAGACTAGAGAAAACCAGGCTAGTTTCCGACCTGGATGTGGCTGTATAGACCAGATATTCACACTACATCAGGTCCTAGAACATAGACACACATTCAGACGCCCCACAATCGTATTATTTCTTGACCTTAAGGCAGCATTTGACTCTGTTGATCGTAAGGTTTAATGGCAGTGTTTGTCACTGAAAGGCGTACCAAAGAAGTACATTAACCTTGTAAAGGCTCTCTACTCGAACACAACTGGTAGAGTGAGAGCTTATGGCGAACTGTTCACTCTCTCCATTCTTGTTTAACTTTGTCGTTGATGTGCTTTTAGAGATAAAAATTTTCCTTATCTGACTTTCCAGGGGTTGAACTTCTACCAGGAGATTCATTTATTGACTTAGAATATGCCGACGATATAGTTCTATTTGTTGAAGATGCTGACAAAATGCAGAGTCTTCTGACCACTCTAAGCAAAAATGCAGGCATGTTCGGGATGCGATTCTCCCCTGGAAATGCAAAATGTTGCTTCAGGATTGGGTTGCATGGACACCTGAACTAATGATAGGGAGTGAAGTAGTTGAGCGTGTCTACCGCTTCACTCATGTTGGGAGTCTCATCAGCCCTTGTGGTCTAGTGTGTGATGAAATCTCAGCACGGATACAGAAGGCTCGATTAGCTTTTGCTAACTTGCGTCATTTGTGGCGTAGGCGAGATATCCGCCTACCAACCAAAGGACGTGTTTACTGCGCAGCAGTTCGTTCCGTCCTACTTTATGGCAGTGAAACGTGGCTGGTAAGAGTAAAGGATATTCGTAGGCTACTAGTATTTGATCATAGGTGTCATCGAAATATTGCTCGTATATCCTGGGACCATCGAGTAAGTAATGCAGTTGTTAGGAAACGGGTACTAGGTAAGGATGGCAAGTCGATTGATGAAGTAGTGAAACTTCATCAGTTGAGATGGCTGGGACACGTGCTACGTATGCCCAACGACCGACTGCCCCAACGTGCGATGTTTTCTGGTGTAGGAGTAGGTTGGAAGAAATCTAGGGGCGGCCAGATCAAAACATGGCACAAATCCATAGAGTCACTGACAAGTGAACTGAGCCATGTTGGTAGGTGTAGACTACCTGGTTTGGATCCGCGAGACGATAGCAACCGATGGTTAGAGACCTTGAATGATATGGCTCGAAATCGTTTGCAATGGCTTAGGTGCATTTACTCTTTGTGTTCTGCCAAATTCTAATCTTCTGAATTCTTCATGTCCCTTGTTTTTTCTCTTTCAAAATTTATTTCACTGTATTATGCTCCTTGAATAACATCTTCAAACCCTAGTGTTTCCTATTACTGCTTATACTCTTACTACCTCTACCATTACGGGATTTGAATCGATAACTACATCTTTGTGCTAATGTGATGTGGCAACTCGAATTGATGTACGTAAGTACGAAGTTCCACGTTGTTACTGACTGACTGGTATTATTTAGACTTACGTTAAATATGATTTAACACTCATCTTTACTGAGTTTATTTTAGTTTCTATTCCTACTTTTTGTTAACCTCAGATTGAATGTGAAACTGCTGGAAAGTTGAATGTTCATTTAGTACAAATCCCAGCCATCGATTATGAATCGTGGAAAGCTGCAATACGATATGCGAAGGATCTTTTGGTAGGATGACTTTTTTATGTAACACTTTCATGTTTATTTATCTATATTTTAATGAAAATAAATAAATTTACTGACATTTAAAGTTTTAGAATGTTAAACAGAGGTTTAATCTCCATCATTAGTAGTAAGGCTTTGAATCATCCAGTTGTTGATAGTCTTCACTGAATTTTTATCAGAATGAACATTTTTCAAGAAGGATTGATCAATATTGAGCTAAGAATTTTAACAGGGTGAAGATCAAAAAGCTGACTGATTAAATTGATACTCGTTAAACAAGGTAGCGGCTATCTAAACTCAGTCGGTCAGTAAATAACCTGTTACGCCTTTTGAAACGAAAAGTACTGGATTCGAATCCAGTGTAACCATCAATACCTAGATGCAAGTACATTCAGCTGGCAATGACAAAACAAGCGTCCTAGATTTCATTGCTAGTTACAATCCATCTGTTCTTAAAAGAACAAAGTGGTTTCATTGTTTTCCCACGTAATTCATATCGTTTTTGCTTGACTTTAATTAGGCTATACAATTTTGGTTGATAATTAAAAAGCACTATTATTTGCTTTGTGATGTTTTTCAATGTGCCTTTTTATCATCAAACTTCTGTTTAACATACTGATAATCATATTATGATGTTTCCTATTGTTCTACAGTAATTTCGGATGATTTGGATAATTGAATTCACAGCATCGTTTGATGCTTATTTTATATCATGTCATTTTTATGTGAATCTTGTACAAATAGATTCATGCAATATGAAAATAAGCTGAATGTTTTAGCAGGATCAAATCCTAACAATTTTATGCTTCAATATTATCCTGATTGGTCTCTTTTTTAACCAATCACTACTGGTATGGCAATGTAGAATACCCTAGATGTCCTAATATTTCTAATAATTCTGTATAAACTAAAGTGTTTTTAGTATTGTATCTTTGTTGTTTCGACTTATTGGAACTTACTCCGTTTCCACTTATTCGTATTCTGATTTGCATCGGGTCTAGGGAAGTGAAATGGTCAAGCGATATTCGACAAACAGAAACCTTTATATATATATATATATCCAATCCTGTCCTGGGCAATCCTTCCCAGCTCCCTCCAGTTGTTATTCATCCTTTTCATATCTGCTTCTGTTTCCTGACGTAATGTGTTCTTTGGCCTTCCCCTTTTCCGCTTCCCTTCATGATTCCAAGTTAGGGCTTGCCTCGAGATTCAGTTTGATGATTTGCGTAATGTATGTCATATCCGTTTCCATCGTCATTTCCTAATTTCCTCTTCAGCTGGAAGCTAGTTTGTTCTCTCGCATAGAAGGCTGTTGCTGATGCTATCCGACTAATGAATGTTGAGTATCTTGCGTAGGCATGTATTTATAAATACTTGCACCTTCTTGATGATGGTTGTTGTAGTTCTCCAAGTTTCAGCTCCGTACAGTAGAACTGCCTTGACATTGGTATTGAAGATTCTGTTTTTGATATTGGTTGAAAGTTGTTTTGAGTTCCATATGTTCTTCAACTGTAGGAATGCTGTCCTTGCTTTGGCAATCCTCCCCTTTACGTCTGCATCTGAACCTCCTTGTTCATCGGTAATGCTGTCTGTGAAGGATTCTACATCTTTCAGAGTTTCGCCATCAAGATTGATTGGATTGCTGTTCTCTGTGTTGTATTTGAGGACCTTGGTTTTCCCCTTGTGTATGTTGAGGCCTACTGATGCAGAGACTTCTGCTACACTGTCTGTCTTTATCTGCATTTGTTTGTGTTTATGTGATAGGAGGACCAGGTCATCTGCGAAGTCCAAATCGTCTAATTGGTTCTGAGCTGTCCATTGTATGCCGTATTTTCCCTCAGATATTGAGGTCTTCATAATCCAGTCGACCACCAGAAGAAAGACGAAGGGAGAGAAAAGACAGCCTTGTTTGATTCCAGTCCTTAATTGGAATGCGTCCTATATGCATGACCTTGCACTGCAGTCCGTCCTATGAGTTCCGGATAATGTTGACAATCTTCTCAGGAACTCTGTAGTGTCGAAGAAGTTTCCATAACGTCCTTCTATCTACACTGTCAAATGCCTTTTCATAATCAATGAAGTTGATGTGCAGTGACGAGTTCCACTCAACTGTTTGTTCAACAATTATCCGTAGTGTCGCGATTCGGTCTGTGCACGACCGATCCTTACGGAATCTAGCTTGTTGATTTCGAAGTTGGGCGTCTACTGCATCTTTCATCCGGTTCAACAAAACTCTGTTAAAGACTTTTCCTGGTACTGACAGTAGTGTGATTCCTCTGTAGTTTTCACATTTGCTCAGATCTCCTTCCTTTGTAATCTTGACGAGGTGTCCTTCTTTCCAGTCCATCGGCACTTGTTCCTTCTCCCGAATCTTCTTGAATAGAAGGTGAAGCATGTTTGTAGTTACTTCGGTGTCTGACTTCAGTGCTTCAGCTGGTATGTTGTTAGGTCCTGCTGCTTTCCCGCTCTTGGTTTGTCTGATGGTCATTCTGATTTCTTCCGTCGTTGGTGGATTGACATCTATAGAAAGATGTGTGTGCTGCTTCGATGTCCGGTGGATTCATTGGAGTCGGCTTATTCAAGAGTTCCTCGAAGTACTCTACCCATCTGTTCCACTGTTGTTGAATTTCAGTGATTGGCTTGCCTTCTTTGTCTTTGACCGGTCTCTCTGTATTTCCCTGCTAGTTTCTTCGTTGTATCGTAAAGCTGTTTCATATTTCCTTCCCTTGCAGCTTTTTCCGCCGTCGTTGCTAGTTCTTTCACGTACTTCTTCTTGTAGGCCCCAATGCTCTTCTTCACTTGCTTGTTCGCTTCTATGTACCCAGCTTGTGCTTGGACTTTCTCTGCTCGTGTTCGGCTGTTGTTAATTGCTGTCTTCTTGTTCTTCCTTTCTTTGATCCTGTCCAGTGTTTCTATAGGGGTCCATTTCTTATGATGATGCTTCTTTAGGCCCAGAACCTCCTGACACGTTGAAGTTAATGCTTCTTTGATGCCTTTCCAGTTGTCCTCCATAGTCGTTTCTTCTTCCTCCAGTAGATCCTGTAAGGCTTGAAACCTGTCGTTGAGAGCTATCTTGAAGTAATTGAGTTTGTCAGTATCTCGAAGGAATGCTGTATCGAACCTTTGTAGTGCTGTTTGTCCAGTTGTACAGTTTTTCTTTAGCTTCAGTTTTAAATTGGCCACAACTAGGTGGTGGTCTGAAGCTATGTCAGCTTCTCTATGATTCATTGCAGCCTCTCATAGAATTGATCTTTAATGTCGTCGTTGCTATATTTGGTGGGTGCATATCATTGGATAATATTCATTGTGATCTCCTCCCCCTTTGTTTTGAATGATACTTTGATGATTCTGGATCCATGAGATTCCCGTCCTACAAGTGCATTTCATGCTACTTTGGACAGCATTAAAGCAATTCCTTAAGTGTATGGAGCATTTTCCCCTTCGTGGCCGGAGTATAACAGCATCTTTCTCGTATTTAGCCTTTGCTGTCCAGCTCGGGTCCAATGGGTTTCGTTGATTCCCAGTACTGCCGAATTGTATCTCATCATTTCCGTTGCTATTCGACTGGTCATCCTGGTCTCCCACATTGTTCGGACGTACCATGTACCTATAAAAAGTTTTGCTCTGGTTGTTAGAAGGGGCATCGGCCTCGTGGCTTCCGAAGAAACTCGGCTTTCATCATGAGGCGTCATAGTTCTTCCAAATGAAGACCTAACTCCCAGGGCAGAGTTTAAATGGTTTGAATTATTTTTTCTGGTTAGCGTTTTTTTAGCAAGTTAGTTTTCTACGGGATTGGGTCGTTAACCCAACGGCCAACCCTCCTCCTTTACCCGGGCTTAGGACCGGCAGTAACTCTAGTAGAGCTACAGGCGGAGTTATTCGTTAATGTGCTTATTTTAAACTGAACGTTTTGAGTTGTTGGAGCTGAAATTATGTTTTTGTAGAAAAAAATCTATAACACTAAACTATCTTACTGCTTTGTGGCCAGATAATCATACACACTCACTACTTCAATGTTAATCAACTACCCTTTGCGTTTTTGTAATAGTTGAAACATACTAAAATCACCTTTGAAATGTATTTTATGTAAAGGCCATTATTTGTTTAAAATCCATCGAAAAAAAACACGTCACTTATATATTCAAGCATTTAGAAGTACATCTTAATTATCAGGTATTAGATTAAATAAAGAAAAATACTTGTGTGTATCAATACACCTTTATAAGTTTCTATTTCACGTAAAACATACAATTAAAAAATATAAGTAATTAGTTATTTAGTGAGAATTCATTTACTTGTCATAAACTAAATAACAGAAAATACAATTTTTGTGATATTATTTATTCTGAATTAGTATAATATACATATTTACAATTATTCCTAGAAATTTTAAGCAACTGAAAAAAACACCCCATATTACTTTTATCTAATCCTTGTCTTCTTGAAAGAAAAAGTCGATTCACTTATATGTTTCAATAGTCTAATTGGTCATATATCTAAATTAATACTCTTATTATTAATATACCTTTCATAAGGTTGTGGAACTTGGAAATTACTGGCAAACAAATAAAATTACTCTTTGATTTCTATAGTAACAATAATCTAGGATTTTAAGTTTCATCATTTAATTTTGTTCAATTTTTTTTAAGTATCCCATAGATTACAAGAATTTAGAAATTCATTAATAAGTCAACTTTCTAAATGGGATTGATTTTAATAGAAGTAAAATGAAAGCGTGTAAAATATTTCATCTATAATAAAATGAACAGAATGACCATTTTTTTTTAAAATACAGCAATGAATATAAAGAAGTAAACTAGAAAATTTTTTTATTATCTTTTTAAGTAAGAATAAAATTAATTTATAAAACTACTAGCTGTCTCTTTTATCATTTATGCTACATTAATTAGAATGAAGATCATGGAGTCACGTTAGGACGTTCATTAACCAGATGTAAGTGATATGCGTATATAAATTATTTCTTTTGCTTATTGATTTTTACATTTTATTTTTCAGAAATCCCCTATGAACCCATGCTTACTTTTATCTGAACATCTACTTAATGAAAAGCTTAATTGGATAAGCACTGTGATGTGTGGTGTCAGAGACTCACTGACAGATTGTAGTCTTTAAAAGTGCTTTGGATATATCTTTTCCTTTTTTTTAATTCACACTGTTGCTTCGGGATTGATATAACTTAATACTTGGTGTTATCAATAATAATAAGTGAAATAGTTAGCTCTGTCTACAGCTTAAGTTATCTTGGAAGTCTAATTAGCCTTGTTTCACCTGTGAATGGTAATATGTTGACATGAACACATAAAACCTTTCATCTCTGATAAACTATACCACCTTTGTTTTAAGCGAAGTTTTCATCTACCAAGCAAAAGGCGAGCATATCATTCAGGAACCAGTTTTATGTTAGTTTATAAGTGCAAAATATGACCACACAAAGTAAAAACAGATGTGAATCGTAAGTATTTTGTAATTAGAATCTTGAAAGCATTAATTTAATATAGCATAACAACTTCTTAGCTTATACTATTGTTAGCTGTCAAAATATGAGGGATGATTATACACCTTCAAAGACTTATACAGTTAAAAATGTATTACATCTGCTTAATCACTGTCTTTAAATGTTATAGAGTGTGATTTAGATATCAAATAATTGGATGACCAGGACAAGAAATGTTACTAATCCGTGATGCCAATGGGTGGAAACTAGGCGATACATTATATAAAAATCCACGATATCATAGAGGCATTTATGTAATCTCTCCCTCTAAATATCCAGTTTTGTACCATCTCTATTTCTTATCTTTTTTTTTAACAAATTTGTGTTCCACGTTTTATATATCTTCTACATTCGTATCATTATTTTTACTTCTTTATTGGATGTCTAGTTGATTCCTTCAAGTTTCCCTATTTGTTATAAAACATAAAATTGAACGAATACTCGTTTATCCCAAGTCTACACGTCGTTCACATTTGTTCGATGAGAAATGTTCAAGTGTCTGGTTTCGTTAGTCTATTTTTGACAGTAATTTTATAGTTACTTAGTTACCTAGTGGAAAAAATTATATTTAGGAATTAAAGGTTGTCGTTATCCAACAGTTTTCACTTATCCTTATTCTTGCTCAACTCCGTTACAAATATAGTTTCATTTATATCTTAAATGTCACCGGATAACTTAGACTATTCAAATTATATTATCATTTATGAAGAAGTCAGTTGGTAAAATAATCCTTTTTTAAAATCAAAAACCTAATTATCTCTTTATTGGAATTTTCACAAGAATTTTGAATTGTTCTTAGTATAAATTATTTAATAGTAGTCAGATTATACTAAATGAATGCTTCTATCTTATAAATCACGCATCCATGGATATGTTTTTTCACAGCCTCTCTTTGTATAATGGTACTAATATTGACATAGTAAATGCAAAAATATTTTAAGAATTTATCAAATGACTTACTAATAGGTATCCAATTGTTATATATATATATATATATATATATATATATATATATATATATATATATATATATATATATATATATATATCATACTAACTTATTGGCTGGATACACATGATGTGCTGTACTTTAAGCGCATATGCTATATTCAGTACTCTCATCCACTTGGAATACACTTCTCTTGGTATATGTTATTAAGTAATAATTAAATTATGAGCCTCTAATGGATAGACTTAAAGCGAAAACTAAAGGATTTTTATATCATCTTGAAAAATTAAGTAGGTTGATTTTGATTTATTCTTATTTTTACACATCAGTAAAATATGTATTTGTGTTCATTTTTAGCACTATTTACTGCTTCCAAGTACTTCTCATTACTAACTAGTATTAACTAAAATAAGTATTGTAAATTACAAAACAGTGGATACATATTTGATTCAGCTTTGGATATCTTATCAATAAGCATTGACGATGCTAATTTATGTATCTGCATTCTATTATGTATTTATCTATAGGAATTTACGAGCTTACTGCAATAAAAATAATCAAATTACGCTAAATTCATGTAAAGTGATAATTTAATCCTGCAGATTGTAAGACACTAATACAAATCCAACAAGCCAGCGAATTTACGTTATTCTACTGAATACTTTATCCCTATTCCCTAACTTGAAAGAGTTATCTACCACAACGCTTCACAAATTTAGTCGTAACTGCAGCCTAATCTAACCATAAATTTGATGTTGTGAGTCCCTATAAACTGCAGTGGCTAGGCAATTATTTGTCTACGTCTAACCACCACCTATATGTATGAGCTATAGTGACTTTCAAATGTCGTTGGGAAAAGAGTAAGGCATCAGTCTGCGGCTTAATTGACCTTTAAGTTTATGTTGTATCTAATTGTCCAAAATTCCTAGTCAGGATCTAGTTTATTCATTTTATAAATTCTGAGTGTAATGTTATTCCGCACTCTTTATTGTCTGATTTTATCGGTTTATTTTGATATATTTTTTATCTATCCATCAATGCTATTATTTCCATCGCTTTTCCTTTCTGCTTACCATACTATAATATTAATTGTAGCAACTATACAGGTACATACTTGTGCAAGAAATTACGCTATTTATGTGTTTATCGACCTTCCGTTTTAGTTTATTGAATTTATCAATTGATTAAATGATAAAAGTCATCGGTTTATAATAAGTGACTCAACTCGTCTGTTCACCATGCGTTGTGAGTGATAAATTGAACAGTTTCCTAGTATGTTATAATGTAACTTACTAAAAGTCAATTAGTCAAGATTCAATGAATGAACAAGAAATATAAGTTCTGGAACTAATAAGAACTCTTAGTCAAGTCTTGCCGAAACTACGTAATTATTATTACATTTGTTTAACCTGGCGTCTCATGTTATGTTTCGTGATGCTTTTTCAGAATCACTAAACTTATTCTTATTCAAAAAATAAGTTATTTAACATTTTAATCAATCACCAAGACCGGTGTATCTGCACGAGAAATAAATAAATGAGCTAAAAACTTACTCTAAATTCAAGGTGACCATTATGATTTATTTTTATATGAAGGTTGTCATTACTTCCAAGCTGAAGAAAAAACAAGAAAACTTAACAATCACCAATTACATTGTGATTGAAACAAATAATGTTAATGTTTAAAAGTGTTATAGATCAATTTTTGAAAGTACTTGGTAAACTACCATATATTTAAATCTTATATACGAGTTTATAAACTTCCAATAAATTAACTTTAAGACGACTAAACTGTGTAAGACAATGTATTATGATTATTTTCTTTTAAAGTTTTTTTACAACCATATTGTTTTTATCGTGTATGCTTGTCAAATTGTTAATGATTAATAAAGCCTATCTTTTTTACTCTTAACTCGTTTTGTTTTCATATGTTAGAGTTTAGATGGTGAAGAATCGATCAATTGTAGTAGTAATAAGAGCGACACACAGAAGCTGTGATTGTGACCTATATAATGATTATGTTGTCCAGTAACAAGGACACTTTTCACCAATATGTTTACCCCTGCTTCTAGTATACTATATCAAAAAGTTTAAATAATCATTTTCTGAAGTGCCTTTCTTCGTTCACTTTTTATTCTCTAAAATTAGCGTTTGCTAGTATCATAATTTAACCGTCCTATTCTATTAAAGTTTTAAGAATGGTCGATTTCTATGTAAAACAGATAAACTGTAGTTAGCAGTGAGATCAAGGATATGCCCCATTTAAGACTTAATTCCTTTGTTTTCGATTCTGTCTTTAACCTGTATTGGTTATTTAGAGACTTTGCGATAGAAATAACATTTTATAAATACCTGGTCGTTTTTTTCGGTGGGTGTCTACTACCAAAAAATCTAGTGTATTGGCATTAAGTTTTTTGATGAGAAGAGGGTCCTTTGACACTTATAGGTTTCTCTTAATAAGTGAGTTAACTGATATGTTTATCGATTTCACCATCATGAACTGGATCGATTCTGAAACCGTATCAGGATTTCTCCAGTTCAAAAGTAATAGAGTCCGAAATATTGTATATTCCATGATTGTATCTCTTTAAAAAATAACTTTAACTGAACATATTGAATAAGGGATTTCGAAATAGTATATCGATTCTTAAGAAATGGAAATCTGCAGCTGACTTAGAGTCACAAAATGGTCAAACGCAAGTTAATCAATGCATTAGGAAGATAACATACTAGAATATTACCAGATGACCGTAGGGAATGCACGAATTCGGAAGCTTACATAATCCTCCATTCATAAATTACTAACATAGAATGAAATACTGTTCACAAAGAAAGTGTCATGGAAAGAAATCTTAGTTCATGCATTAAACTATTGGTTGCAGACAGTGATAGCATGTAATTTATGAAGAGTCTTCAAGTTCAAATTCAACCATATCAGTATGGTCAGAGTTTCCCGAAAAATTTTCAACTTTAAGTTCGGAACCTCCTTTTTTAGTCTCATAAAATTTGACTACAGTATATAACTCCTCATGTCATTATTAATTATTTCACGGAACAAATATTCATTCTGATGAGAAAAGAAGAAATAACATTAAAAATTTATTCTTTGATTACCAGTCAGACGATAACAAAACAGAATTTCAAATATAATATCAACAATGAAGCTGAAGTCTAACAACTGAAACACCTAATCATTTTCTCTTTACTAATTCTCGTTGTTTTAACTTTTCTTTCCTTTTGTACTTAAGTATTCTCTATTGCATTGTATATATAACTAAAAATTGAATTTTTGGACTATCAGCTGTGCATCTCATTGTCAAATTCGTTATATTTTCTGCCTAACTGTATTTTGTTTTTATTATTATTATTTACTTTAGATGATTCGGGACAACCTTCTGTGCTCGATAAAAAATTGTTGGTTAAATTGCGTGATTTTTTTAGAACAAGACCAACTGCTGCGTCCCTACGATCTCGCGGTATTTTAAAGAGTAAGTTACTTGTATTCATAATTTGTACATTTTGTATATCCGTACTTGAATTCCTTATAAAACTGTAGATTTACTTAAGTACGAATCACTGTTATTTTGTTACAACTTATACTTAATTGTATGTACTGAGATAAAGTTGGGGATCTGTAAGTATGGTTATCGGTTTAATTCTAGAAGTTTCTTAACACATTCGTGTACTTATCGCGGTCTTACGTGACAGTATTCAAAAAGAAAATAACTTCAAACATATCTTTTATGGTTACAGATAACTGCATAATCTCATCACTGATGTAACAAGATTTTCCGATTCACCAATGGCGTTTTCACAATCGTTTTACTTTATCAGTGAGATTCGAGAAATTATATGTATTTAATCCGTACTGTATCGTAGAATTTAAGCCTGAATGGTTGAATCATGGATTCGCACTGTTGAGGAGTTCCACGTTTGAACTAAGTAGCTGTTCGGTACTTCCACGTTTTCTGTAATTGTCTAACTTAAATCAGTTCTTGATCTCACATAACATCCAATCATCTCCACAAAACTCCTACATTTATATTAGAACATACACAATTTTTTTGTAATTGTATCTAACAAATTATTTACTTAGCGATTATCAGGTGGCCAAATCAATAAACGTTTATTACGTACTTGTATATTTATGTTTGCAACCATGACTACTAACCCTGCTTTGTTTTTTGTGGATAGATATCATTTTTTGTTAGGTATTTATCTTTTAATTGGTTTATTTTTAACAACCTACTTGAAATTGGCAGTTCTGAAAAATTACTTAAACAGTTTATAGTTATATTTTGTTAGTGCTACATAATCTATGTTATTCAAGGTTACATGTAAACACACAACACCGAGTACATCATATCTTGTTACAATAAATAGTGCTTTCAGAAAAATAAAGTGAGTTCGTAGACTAGAAAAAGCAAAGAAAGGCAGTGATAATATGGTTTTTGTTAAAAATAGCTTACATTTATCAATTTGAACTTGTTTATTATTTCACAGTCCCGACCGAAGCTGCTACCTTGACGTGGTGGTCGGGCTTGCCTATCGTGATGACCCATCCGAGCTATATTGGCTGGAACATATGTTCCTGTAGGTTCTACCATGCCAGGCAGGTCGATTGGTGAACGGTAAGACTAAAAGCAGCAGCTCAAAGTCTGAGGGCGAAGTCGTACTGCTGACTGTACAGAGGTGTGACAGCAGTAAGGTGTTTCCTTCGGACAATCAGCATGACAGCGATGCTGCCTTCCCACAAGGAGGGGTGGGGTTAGAAAAGGTCGACCCTAAAAATGTCACACCTCACCTTACCTCACGGATTTCCGTCTCCGGCGGTAAGGCCATTTGAAGAACGGAGCTAACACGTCAAAAACCTTCTACAAAAAGGCCGTGCGCGACCGGCTTCAAGCAGTTGTCCCTTGGGCTCTGCGGTCACGCTCCCAGGTCGTTAAGACCAACACTAATCCAATTTCCTTTTCAGGTTCCTCAAGAAATACCCTTCCACGGGGTGGGCAGCCGGGAAGTGACATCAGCCCTCATACCCGTAACAGCACGCGAGACCAAGTTGGTCACATTCAAATCCTTCCAACACCTAATACCTCTCTTATCTCCATGACTAACCCACCTCACGTCTCTTTATCACCTCGCACCGCTAGGGCAAACGATTCGAGTACATGGAACGCTATTCCTGGTCTCCTGAAACCACGCTCTAAACTACACGTAGGAGCTTTTAACGTCCGAACACTGTGGCAAATAGGACAGCAGGCTTCCTTAGCTAGGGCCTTAGAATCTTACGCCATCGATGTGTGTTGCGTCTCCGAAACGCGCATACAGGATCCAAGTAGCATCATTCATTTGACCTCACCATGCCAAAATAAAGAACCGACTCGATTTACGCTTCGTGTATCTGGAAGCCCTGATTCTGCTTCCCGTGGCCTCGCCGGCGTAGGTATAGCATTGAGTCCTAGGGCAGAACTAGCTCTCTTTGAGTGGATCCCAGTAGACAGTCGTTTGTGCGCTGTCCGACTGAACGGAACAGTAATAATCCGGAAAGATAGGGACACTCGTTGTTGCCTCTTCGTCGTCTCTGCCTATTCTCCCACTGACTGCAGCCCAGATGATGTAAAAGATGAGTTTTACAGAAAGCTTTCGGACCTTCTCCGAAAAGCTAAGCGCTCGGATGTAGTAATAGTGGCCGGTGACTTTAATGCTCAAGTAGGTAAACTGAGCGATAGGGAAAGACACCTAGGTGGATCTTATGGTGTCGTGGCTCAAAGAACAGATAACGGCGACCGTCTGTTGCAGCTATGCTCAGATAACCGCCTGTTCCTTGCAAATACCAACTTTAAGCATAAGGAAAAACATCTTTTAACATGGCGACCCCCTAATTCGCCCCAACGTTGGACCCAAATAGATCACATCGCTATCAGCCACCGATGGAGGGGCTCGATAGAAGACTGTCGCTCATTCTGGAGCACATGCCTAGATTCAGATCATGCTCTAGTACGAGCGCGTATTTGCTTGCGTCTTACTGGACGTAGGAAAAACGCTGCAAGGAAACCTCTTAGGGGCCTACTTAATGATAGTCAAGCTAAGAGTATATTTCAGGAACAACTAGGAAAACAGTTAGGCAGCCATGTATGTGATGCCCACCCCGAGGCAGCATGGAATGATATCCGAAAAGCTGTGGAAACAGCAGTGATATCTGTTAGTAAGGTAAACCACAAGGTTAGGGAGAAACACTGGATCTCAGCAGCATCTATCGCACTGATAGATGCTCGGAAACTCATTCCACCTCGCTCTGAACATAGTGAAGAGCGGAGTCAGCTTAAGCGCAAACTGACAAGAAGTCTACGCAATGATCGTGAACAGTGGTGGGTAGCGAAAGCAAGAGAGATGGAAAAGGCAACGGCAATAGGTAATAGCAGACAATTGTTTAGACTCGTTAAGGAAACCGGAATTAGGAACCCGACTGTTAGCGAAACAATCTCAGAGAAAGATGGACATATTATTCATTCTCAATCCAGGAGATTGGATCGATGGGCAGAACACTTTAGGGATCAGTTCAACTGGCCTTCAGCCACACTTCGGTTTCCCACGATCTCCAGTCAACCTGAATGGCAAGTTAATGTAAGTCCTCCGTCTCTTTATGAAGTTGAAAAAGCCATAGGAAATCTGAAACGAGGGAGAGCAGCAGGCCCTGACAGGTTTACTCCTGAGATTTTTAAGGATGGTGGTTCAGTATTAGCAGTGAGATTAACTGAGGTCTTAGGTAGAATTTGGGAACTGGACGTAATCCCATCTGACTGGTCTCAATCACTGATTGTACCAGTATATAAGAAAGGACAAAAGTCCTCTTGTGACAATCACAGAGGAATCAGTTTGACTAATATAGTGTCTAAAATATTAGCTTCAATAATACTTCGACGCCTAATCAAAGCACGTGAAGAGCAAACTAGAGAAAACCAGGCCGGTTTTCGACCTGGACGTGGTTGTATAGATCAGATATTCACACTACGTCAGGTTCTAGAACATAGACACACATTCAGACGCCCCACAATGGTAGTATTTCTCGATTTTAAGGCGGCATTCGACTCTGTTGACCGTGAAGTTCTATGGCAGCGTTTGTCACTGAAAGGTGTACCAAAGAAGTACATTAACCTTATAAAGGCTCTCTACTCGAACACATCTGGTAGAGTGAGAGCTTATGGCGAACTGTCATCAGAATTGATTACCTCAAGTGGTGTTCGTCAGGGCTGTCCATTCTCCCCATTCTTATTCAACTTTGTGGTCGACGTACTTTTAGAGATAACACTCTCCTCATCTAAATTTCCGGGGATTGAACTTCTACCGGGAGGTTCACTTGTTGACTTAGAATATGCAGATGACATAGTTTTATTTGGTGAAGACGCAGGCAAAATGCAGAGTCTTCTGACCACTCTAAGCAACAATGCAAGCATGTTCGGGATGCGATTCTCTCCCTCGAAATGCAAAATGTTGCTTCAGGATTGGGTTACATCGACACCCGAACTAGTGATAGGGAGTGAAGTAGTTGAGTGTGTCGACCGCTTCACTTATCTTGGAAGTCTCATCAGCCCTTGTGGTCTGGTGTGTGACGAAATCTCAGCACGGATACAGAAGGCTCGACTAGCTTTTGCCAACTTGCGTCATTTATGGCGTAGGCGAGATATCCGTCTACCAACCAAAGGACGTGTTTACTGCGCAGCAGTTCGTTCCGTCCTACTTTATGGCTGTGAAACATGGCCGGTAAGAGTAGAGGATATTCGTAGGTTACTAGTATTTGATCATAGGTGTCTTCGAAGTATTGCTCGTATATCCTGGGACCACCGAGTAAGTAACGCAGCTGTTAGGAAACGGGTACTAGGTAAGGATGGCATGTCGATTGATGAAGTGGTGAAACTTCATCAGTTGAGATGGCTGGGACACGTGTTACGTATGCCCAACCACCGACTACCTCGACGTGCTATATTCAGTGGTATAGGAGTAGGTTGGAAGAAAGCTAGGGACGGCCAGACCAAAACATGGCACAAATCCATGAAGTCACTGACAAGTGGACTGAGTCATGTTGGTAGGTGTAGACTACCTGGTTGGGGACCGCGAGATGATAGCAACCGATGGTTAGAGACCCTGAATGACATGGCTCAAAATCGATTGCAATGGCGCAGGTGCATCCATTCTCTATGTTCTCCCAAATTCTAATTATCTGAATTCTTCATGCCCCTTTTTTTCCTCTTTCCAAATTTATTTCACTGGATTATACTCGTTAAATAACATCTCCAAACCCTAATCTTCCCGATTACTGCTTATACTCTTGCTACCTCTACCACTACGGGATTTGAATCGACCACTGCATCTCTGTGCTAATGTGGTATGGCAACTCGGTCTGATGTACGTACGTACTAAGTTCTACGTTGTTACTGACTGACTGACATTATTTCACAGTAAATCAAGTTAAATTAATTAGGAATTT